CGAGCGGCGCGCCCGGGAGCTGTCCCCCGGCGGGAGCCGCAGGCCGAGGGCGGGGCGGACGAGCCCGGTGCCGCGCTCTCCGCGGCCTCTCCAGCCTTTCGGTACACGCCGAGCCCCGCAGGAAATTAGCGACGGCGAGCAGCAGAGGCAGTCCGGGGGCGGCGCTGACCGAAGGAAGCTGGTTCTGGGAGGTCTGGTTTGCAACCCCCCCGCCCCCGAGAGCCGGGGAAGCTGAGGCCCAGGGAGAGATCGCGCGGCTGACTGCGCTCAGCCCCCACGCGAACCGCCGGGGGTGGTCGGTCGGTCCGGACTCCGCCTACCAGAGTCGGCTAGAAAATGCTGTGGTGCTCCTGTTTAAAGGGAAGGTGGGGCAGAGTCATGGCATCCTGAGTGATGAGCCAAAGTGCGTGCCCAGCCCGGAGTGCCGTGGGCCCGGAGTCCAGCAGGGACGACTGACGGGCGGACTCCCTGCCCACAGAGCCAGGAGCCGCAGCAACCGGGCTGTCCTGGCCAGGTCTGAGCCGGCCCAAAGCCACTGGTTTGCAGTCATTAAGAATTCGGGAATCAGGGGGCGCCTGGGTGGCTCAGTCCTTAAGCGTCTGCCTTCGGTTCAGGTCATGATCCCAGGGTCCTGGGATCCAGTCCCACATCAGGCTCCCTGCTCATTGGGGACCTGCTTCTCCCTCTCCTGCTCCCCCTGCTTGTATTCCCTCTCTCGCAGTGTCTCTGTCTGTCAAATAAATAAGTAAGATCTTTAAAAAAAAAAAAAAAAAAATTCGGGAATCAGGTGGGGAAACGGAGGAGATCAGAGATGCATAGGCTAGTTCCAAGTCTACACGTTCCTCTCAGAATGCCATGCTGTAAAGATGTTTTATTCCCCACCAGTCTCCCCCATTCATACACACACAGCTGCACGATACTGGCACGTGCTTTTATGTCGTTAAACCTTTAATTACATAAGCTGTGTTCAAAAATCATGTTCAGAGGGCACATTTTCCAAAGACGCTGCAGGCAGCAGGTGGTCACCAAGACAGCTCAGCCGTCACCCCTTCCAAATGCCCTCGCCAGCTTGGGGAAAAACTCCAGGCCGCTTTGCTCTGTGGAGTCAGCGACGGCCCCGGAGCCACAGCAGGTCAGGCTGTGTAGCTAGCTGACAGATTTCATCCAGAGATGGGGCCTGAGCACCAGGGAACTGGGTTCCCAGGGGGACCCCAGGCATTCAGCTCCTGGGCCAGTGGGTCCATAGGGCAGGGAGACCCGCAGCCCCCCAGGCTTCTCACTCAGACTAGGGTCCGGCAGGGAGGGCCTGAGGCCAAGCAGCTCCTGTCCCTTGCCTCCCTTTTGCAGGAGACCTATGTGTGGACCTGCCAGGGAGGTGCCCACTCCTGTTAATTTCATTCCCATTTCCATGTGCCCTTTCCCCAAATCATTCACGTGAGCCCCTATTCCCACTGAGTCCCCCAAAGGGGCTTACAGTTTACAGGTAGCCTGAGCCACTTTGGAGCTGGTTTTTCTGTTCAGGGCTTGGCAGATAAAGGTCCCAGCTTCCAGGAGCTTCTGGAGGTTCACACCCTTTGAGAAACAAGTTAGAGGATGCACTAGGTCATGACATGCCTGCAACACCCAGGGAGACATCGGACTGGACAGAAAACCGATACTAAGAGAGTAAAGGTGAAGACCTTCTCGTTCCTCTTGTGCTGGGACAGCACCTGCCTGCGAGGCTGCAGCCTTCTACCATCTGGGGTTACCCTGGGGGCTCCCCTTGTATAAGATGCCTCCGTCTGTGGGATGGTTTCTACTGCTGCCACCACGGCAGGGATCTCGTCATTCTCGTTCAGTCCACATCTCCAGCGCCCAGCACAGGGCCTGGCCTGCAGCAGTCAAAAAGTGCAGACTGAAGTAATAAAGACTGCCAGGCACAGTGAGCCGGGAGGGAAACACCACCCGAGAGGGCCACCCCGAAAACCTGTTCGTGGCAGGAGCTCACGTGTACTGATGCGTACTGTGTGCTCAGCTCTGGGCTGGGCACTCTCCATTTTCCTACCTAGTCCTCATCACAGCCCCACAAAGGGGAGCTGTCAGCATTCCCGTTTCTTAGGCCCAGGGAGGTGAAGTCGTTTGTCAGGTCACACAGCCTGTGAGTGGCAGGACTAGGTTTTAAACCAAGATCCATCTGGTCCCAAAGCTCAGACGAGATACTGCTTCCAAGCCACCACTGAGGGTCCTCACTAACAGAGCCCTGGGGATGGCTGTCTCCTTCTCCTGCCCTCATTTTACAGGGAGCAGTACAGGTCCAGAGGGAACTGGCTCAGGTCATGGATGTGGCCCTTTCCCTACTCCTTGGTGCCTCCTCTGCTACCTCTTAACTGTCCTCCCTTTCACCAAAAAACCCCTAAACAAAACCATCAGCTTCTGTCCTCAGGCTTCAAGGAGGGTTCTAGTCAGTTCGGGGCTGTCGCCAGCAGGGGGCAGGTGCGCTTACCGTGTGAATGCCCAAGCCAGACAGCATGTAGACAAGGTCCTCAGTGGCCAAGTTTCCGGATGCCCCCTGTGCATAGGGACAGCCTCCAAGTCCTGCCACAGAAGAGTCCACGACACTCACTCCCATCTGGAAACACAAGGATGGGGAAACATGGGTGTCACTGTGGGGACCAGAGCCTACAAAGCCAGGAGGTCTTTGCAAACCTCCCAATCAACTGCTGCCTGAAATTCCACTGAGAGTTACTCTTTCCTTTGGCTAAGGATTCTGTCAATGTTTCTCTTTTTAGTTCCTGGGAACAGTGTGAATCTTTTTTGTGGACAGTTTCTTTGCCAGGGGTATCTTCCCCAGTTCCTTTCACACTCAACTCCTCACCCTGAAAGGTCTCCCCAGGCGCTTCCTGGCCACAAACCTAAAGGAAGCACCTCCCACAGTTGAGATTTCAGGCCCCTGTTGTTTACTGCTATTCATTTACCCACTTCCCACCACCCCAGCCTAAGGCTGCTCTCACTTCAAGTTGGGCCTCTAACCCCAGGGGGCCTATCCCATTTCCCTGGGTCAGCACCGCCCACTCTCCTAATGACTGTTTCCCTTTCTCTTCTCCCCTCAAACCTCCCACAGACCTTAACCTGGACAGCTACAACAGAGAAAACAGACCCAGCTTACAGAATCATGTGGCTTCGAGACCTGAGCCTCTAGGAGATAACTTAAGACCCAAAAACAAACAAAAAATCCCACAAGAACAAAGGCGGCCCAGGATTGCTTTAGCAAACCTAAAGACAACAGGCCAGACTTCAACCAACGCGACAGCAAGGTCAGACACAAGACGCAGACACACCTGTGGTCAGACACTCAGAACTTTCTAAGAGGTGGCCAGTCCACAAGGAGCAAACCTCAAGGGAAACCCAATCTGAACGCTCAGTTCAGTCTTCGGGGAACAGCAGGTAAGACCCCCCTGGAGTGACCTCTGCTGGCCTCTCCGAGCACCCCCCTTGCCCGCTCCCTACGCGCATGCGCACAGTCACACCACTCTCTGGGCCCCCCAGTGTGTGTTCTCCCCAAACCCCACCTCAGCCTTACAGCGCAGGGCTGCCTAGTCAGCTTCCCGTTCCCTCTTCCAGCTGCTTAACTTCCTCACATCCTCCAGGCCTCATTCAGGTCTCTCCTGGCATATCCTCTCGGACCTCCCCAGCTGGGATGGAGGCCTTCCTCAGCCGCGTGCTTCCTCCCTGCAGGTGATCTGTCACAACGCACTGGGACTACCACAAAACTCCCCTGACTATCCCCCTCACACACCCTTATAGGCCAGGGTCACGTGTCTGTGTCCTCTGTGGCCACCCCAGGGCCTGGCACACAGGTATCCGTGAATCCTCACTGAAAGAAGGCGGGAACCTAGCTGTCCTGCCACTGTGTCCTTTTGGAGAATGCACACGTGCCTTCCTCCTCGGACCTGCCCCGATTACCTGCAGGGCCATCAAAGTGTTGGCCAGGGCCTGGCCGTAGGTGTCATGGCAGTGGACAGCCAGGGCAGCCACGGGCACCTCGTGCATGACAGCCGACAGCATGTCCTTCATGATCCCAGGGGTGCCCACACCGATGGTGTCCCCCAGGGAGATCTCGTAGCAGCCCATCGAGTACATCTTCTTGGTGACCTGGGGAGGCAAGCAAGCAAGCACTTGGAGGACACCAGGTTCCTCAAGCCAGGGGCCCAACACCTCAGAAGCAGGGGTCCCGGGCCTGTGCCGAACATCTCCCTGTCGGAAACACTACGTTCCTGTCCGATCATCGGCTCCTTACAACTTTCTAGTGGGAATGACGATCCCCACTCTACTCACCAGGAAGCGGAGACGTAAGGGAACAGAGCTGGCCCCTGGAGCAACCCTGGGCTGCAACCCCGAGCTTTCCTCCCACCCTTTCCTGCCCCTGTGCCCCCGACTTCAGGCCTTCACGCGCCACCTCCACACACCGGGGCAGAGCCAACGACTGGAATCAATAAAATGGATTCCTCTCACGTGACTTTGCCCTCAGTAAGATCTACAGTCTCGTGGGTCTGAGGGGCTAGTTATGTATTTTTAATAGAAGTACCTAACTGTTGGAACTTTGAGAAGCTCATCTGCAAACCCCTAAAGTCACTGAGAAGCCAGGGCAGCGTGTGCCCCACTTGAGATGCTGGCCCACACTGCGCTGCCAGACGGCGGGCGTGTGACAGGGCCAGGGACGCAGGTGACACTCTCAGAGGCCTGCCAGGCAGATGGACCGGCGAGGCCCCCACCGCCCAGGCGGCACACTGAGGACAGCCAGCGGGGGGGGGGGTAGACGCTGCAGCAAAGAAGCGGGCTCTGGAGTGACACACGTTGGGTCACCATCCCAGTTCGGCTGCTCCCAGGCTGGGGGGCCCTGGCAAAGGGCTGATCTTTGCGGAGCTTCCACTTCCCCTTCCGAGAAGCAGTGGTGGGACTTGGCGGGGCGGCTGCGGGGCGGGCGGCTGGGACAGGAGCACCACCACCGTCAGCAGCGTGCTCTCCTTGGGGCTCCCGGTGGGCAGGAAGAGCAGGGCGGTGGCAGGTAAACAGACTGGGGACTGAGACCTAGTGTCCCCATTTGCAACCTGTGTGGCAAATTATCTAGTCTGTTTCCTCGCTTGAGAAACGGACTAACAATAATAACACCAAATTCGCAGGGTGACTTTGACACTAAGTGGCATAAACTCTCAGGTTGCTCAGACTCTGTTCCCACACTGCGCTCTCCTCCGTGCGGACTTGGTTCCTGCTCGGGGGACGCCAAGGGCGTGCTGGCCTCTCCAACCACGGCAAGGAACTGCGGGGAGCCTGCGTGGGGAGCCCCTCCACAGATCCCCTCAACTATCACCTGTCCACTGACCAGACTGCAAACTGAGTCAGAGGCTTCCAGGCTGGGGCAGAGGCTTCAAGCGCACTCGGAGGTGGGCCTCCGGGAGCAAGTGCTGGGAGCTGCGTGAACGAGTGACATCAGTGACCCGCCAGGAAAGGGTGGTGAGGGGAACCTCAGGGGCAGGCCAGGCAGACAACCCTCAGAAAACCCTCGGCCCGATACCCACACACCTCAGCTACTTTAGCCGGGGAGATCTTCCCTTCATAGGGACATCCGAGCACACAGGAGACATACCTGTGGGAGGACAGGGGAGGGATGGTGTCAGCGCCCCCAGGCTCCCAGGCCGGCGGGGCTGACGCGGGGCTGACGCAGGGCAGAAGTCTGACAGCCATCCCTGAAGGGGGACAAGGTCAAATGCCTGGGGGAAAGGCAGATTCAATACCGCCGGCCAGAACGGAGTGGGTGCCGCGTGGCGCCAGGAGGGGGCAGTGGCGAGCCGGGGCAGGGAAGCGGGGCTGCCCAGGCCTGAGGGGAGAAGCCAGAGAGGGCAAAGTGAGCAGGCATCTGAGCCCTGGGGCAGGGAGATAGAGCAGAACATCTGCCACAGGCAGCTGGGGCCCCTACTCCCGGTGGGGGGGGGCAAGGACTGATGAAACCCAAGCAGGGAACAGAAGGGCTGGGCTGGCCTGCGGGCCAAGGATCGGCTGCTCCGGTGAGCTGCCCAACGATCCAGACACTCCTTTATTCTATGGACACTGACGGAGTTGCCCATGACGTGCCGGGCGCTGGGTCACGCTGTGAAAAGGCCGACAGGTCCCTGCCCCCGTGGAGGCTATTTCCAGCTAGAGACAGAGCCGATACGAGGGCAACCGAAGGAGTGGGTGAGGTGACGTCGGAGTGATGTGCTCTGGAGGGGAGAATGGGATGTGGCGGGAGTGACGAAGAGGAGGCTGACCGAAGCCAGGGCGGCCCAGCAAGACCTCCAAGGCTCTGACACGGGAGCCAAGGAGGGGGGCAGGTGGCGGGAGAGCCACTGGGAGAGCCTTCCAGGCAGAGAGCAGAGCAGTGTGGAGCCCCTGAGGTGGTAGAAAGGGTGCTCAAGCCTCAGAAGAACGGAGGGCCCTGCGGGCCTCTGAGGGCCCAGAGCGTCTGCGCCGCACAGCACGTGGCCGACCCGGTGACCTGCCAGCCGCGGGGAATTTGGCTTTGGACCTTGGTGGGCTTCTGTTCCCACCTGCCCTCTTGGCGCTAAGGCCCCACTGAGACCTCTTAGAGTCTGGCAAACTGTTCCGCATGTGACAGGCATCACAAATGTTGGCTGGATACATCATTTCAGGCTCAAAAATCTCAGGGTGTTTTCCCAACTTCCTTCTCCCCCTTGTTCTCCAGTCGCTGCTCAGCAAAGAGAAGGGAGATGCTGAGGAACGAGCACAGGCTTGGGAGTCGGGCAGACCCCATGGGCCCCTGCTTCCCCAGGCCCCTCGCATTCCCAGCACCCCAGCGTGCTGGCCCTGCGCCGCGGGAGGGAGCCCACCACGAACTGTGGCACGTGGGCTCTGCCCTCATGGGGCGCAGGGTCCGGCGGGGGAGAAGCTAACATGCAGCTAAGTGCTCTGTCAGAGGATGTCCAGGGGGCCATGAGAGCCCAACGAGGGGCACGAACACCAGCTGGGGGCCAGAGAAAGCTTCCCGGAGAAGCTGGAGGATGAGCAGGAGCTAGCCCAGACAAGTAGGATGTAGGACAAGAGAGTTCTGAGTCTATGGAAAGCACCCAGAGGCGAGAGAGAGCGGGAGCATGGACATAAGGAATGAAGTTCCAGTCGGGCTGGAACGCAGCGAGCTGAGGAAGCAGGGCGGGGGGGCTGAGTGGCAGTGGACGAGGCTGCGGACAAAGGCAGTGTCTCGGAAGCCGGGTGAGAAGCCCAGAGCCGGGGCGTCACCAACAGGTTTTAACCAGGGAGGGAGGTGATCACATGTGCATGTTCAGAAAGAGCACACTGGGTGCGCTGTGGACAGCGGTGCGACCTCACAGCCGACTCTTCGGCCTTCCTGAGCCGGGTCTGTCTTCTGGAAGCAGGGAGAGCCCTGCTTGCTGGGGGACTGTGAGGTCACAGATGACACAGGGACAATGCCTGGAGACCCAGAGGCCGATGGGGGTCCTCAGACATGTGTGGAGAGGGGTTGCTGGAGCTGGGATTCATCTGACCCCCACAGACCCTGGTGAGTGTCCTGTCCTGCTGGATTCCTCTGGGGAACTGACCCCAAAACCAGTCTGGAGAAAGCACTTGCCAGGATTTCTTGAGCACGGCTACCTGAGGAAAGATCTCAAGGTGTGGAGCATGGGCTGTCTGCGCCCAGGATAGGAAGTATGTAGGGGGACGGTGGCTTGAGTCAGAGCCTGGCCCCCTTCCAGAACGGTACTGAAGAGGAGGCAGGCGGCACCAACGCGGTGTGACTCACCCGCGCACGGGGATACCGGCGGCCCGAGCTGCCCTCAGGATTTCGTCGGACCGCTGTAAGCTCTCATCGATGGAGCAATTGGTGTTCTTCTTGGTGAACAGCTCTGAGGCAGCTCCGAAGACGGTCACCTCCTTGGCTCCAGCAGCAACCTGCCAAGAGCCAGGTGAATTCCTTTCAGCCTTTGTCTCTTCAAGGAACACCAGCATGGCAAAAACCCTTGTCTTACAGTGAATTTTATAACACACGAATATCATGGGTTGAACTGTGTCCCCCCAAAAAACATCTGTAGAAGTCCTAATCCCTGGCACCTCAGAATGTGTCCTTATATGGAAATAGGGTGCGTGCAGAAGTAATTAGTTAAAATGAGGTCACAGTGGTCCTGACTCCAATAGGACTGGCGTCCTTCTAAGATGGAGGCCATGTGAAGACACACACAGAGGGGAAGGCCAGCGAAGACGGAGGCAGGATGGGAGTGAGGCGTCTACAAGCCAAGGAATGCCAAGGACTGCCAGTCTTCACCAGAAGCTAGGAGAACTGTGTCCTCCCAGCCCTCAGGAGGAACCAACTCTACTACCACCTGGATTTCAGACTTCTCGCCTCCAGAGCTGTGAGAGAATACATTTCTGTTGTTTTAAGCCACCTCGCTTTTGGTATTTTCTTATGGCAGCCCAAGGAAATTAACACAGTGAATTCTATCTCCATTAAAGAAACACCACCACCCTTGGCCTTCCCCCAAGGCCCAGCACTGCCCTGGATATCACTGCCCTGGACATCATTCTTTTTTTTTTTTTTTTTAGATTTTGAGAGAGAAACAGCATGAGAGGGGGGAGAGGCCGAGGGGGAGGGAGAAGCAGGCTCCCTGCTAAGCAAGGAGCCCGATGCGGGACTCGATCCCACGACCCTGAGATCATGACCTGAGCCGAAGGCAGACACTTAACCATCTGAGCCACCCAGGCGCCCCACGCAGTTGTTTTTGAATGTCCTAGTTTTTAATGTCTGCTCCCAAAAGGGGGAATATTTGGATGGGGGGGGCATCAGCCCTTTAAATCCACTGGAAGTCACTTCAGCCAGAGGAGGAACTTGCAGCAGTGGGGGGGAGGGGTACAACAAAGTCGGCCCACCTCTTTGTCTATAGCTCTGTGATCAGAAGCAGCAATTAGAGATCAGGGCTCAAATCCCAGATATCTGGAGGACAGGGTCCTTTTTGCCCACGTTGGCTCCCACAAGCTGTGTGCAAGTTGCTCCAGAACATGTTCATGGCTGCCTGCTACATGCCTGGGGCTGGGGGATAGGTAGGTGAATTGACCAAAACCACAATTTATCATCCGAATCTTCCTCTGGAAGCTGGAGCCTTCGTAGACTCCGGACTTCTATAGGAGTTCCACCAAATCCTGCCAGTGTACTTGTCGTCTAGGTCAGAAGACAGATTCCTGGTGCCTCCTCTCTGCCATCTTCCCTGGATCCTCTTTAAAGACTTCATTCCATCTCACAAAGTTCAGTACATAGTGGTCTCATTATTATTCTAAGTATTTTCTAATTCCTTGTATGGTGCCTTCTTTGATCAGTGAGTTATTTTGAAGTGTGTTTTAAAATTTCCATATAGTTTTTTTTCCTCCCAAGTTTTTATTCTTTATGGTCCTTTAATTATGTTGCAGACATACAAGTCTGTATGATAATGCTCCTTTGGTATTTACATTTGTAAATATTCCATGTACTTGAGAAAAACAAATATTCCTCAAATGTTGGGTAAAAATGTATAAACGTATCTATTAAATAAAAAGGAAATAGAAAATCTGATTAGATCTATAATAATTAAAGGGGCTGAACTGATAGCCAACTCAAAAGAACGGTACTAGAAGTGAGAAGCAGAAAAACCAAAGGAATTTTGTTCTTTGTTCTGCATTAAGGAGACTTGGCAAGTCCTTTTTTTTTTTTTTTTTTTTAAACAGAAACAAATCTTTTCATAAACAGTCCATAAGAAACTGGGAGAAGAAAACTACAACATGCTTTTTGGTAGAAACGATCTGACATAAAAATTTATTTATTTGATATTTTAAAAAGCAGGGCAGAATCACATTCATTTTCTTCATAAGATCACTGTAAACAGACTGACTTTCTGAGCCCCTAGTTTGCTTTGGAAACTTCCAAAGGGCTGATCACTAGCAGCCCTAGCAAGCCTTTTCCTTCCCTTCCAGGCTCTCTTCCTCTCTGAGTGGTGCTGGTGACAACTGATGCTAAATACACAGCGTATGGTTGAGCTTGCCAAATCCTTTTCACCTCCTTCCATAGGCAGTAGGGTGACCTGGCTCATTCCTTATCTGAAGTCATTGATTAAGGAGACAGGTTTCAAACATAGAAAATGGAGGGAAGTTTCCGGGATAGATAATTTCCCAGGTTAGGAATAGAAGGATGAATTCAGAGCTTAACTGGTTAGTGCCTCCTGCTGATCAGGGAGAGGTATGCTAGCAATGGATCTCAGATCTCTGATCCATTGAGACATCAGTATAATGCACTCAGTTCCTTTGATTAAAATGTGTTGGAAAAGCCATCTCTGAGTAGAGAAGTAGTTTATTACAACGACAGTGCTATAAGAGGAAAACCAAAGCAGCAAATAGGAGGCAGTTCTGCCTGAACTCCAATGATCAATGCACTCCTGTCAGCTTGATAGTCCAACCAAACTCAACTGGCAGAGTAAAGAGTGGTAACTGGGGCAGATAAATGAGCAGACCTTCTTCTGGACCTGTGGACCACTTCAGATCTTTCTGGATCCCCAGCATTGTTATCTGCAGAAAGCAAAAGGGGATGTCGCACTGAGTACAGAATATGGCTTGAACGTGATGGAAGACAGCCACACTGGGCCAGGGCAGGGCAGATAGTCTGGGGGGGGTGTCAATATGGGGGAGGCCTGGGGCAGGAAGGAAGAAGTAGAAAAGACCTCCAATTCCTTTAGGAAAGGTACCTCTCGGATCGGACTGACAGAGGCTCCTCACCTGTGTAGTCGAGGTAGTTACAGGGGATACAAGGTTTAAGACTCCATTTTCTGGCCAGTGCAGGAAAATGGCATAAAGAGCTGTTCCTTTTGAGGTATACCTGGGAAAAAAAGAAAGGTCAGTGTCAGAAATACCTGGCTTGGGACCCTGACACATAGCCTCATATATCCCCCTTACAATTATCCTGGGTCTGCCAGTGCTGCTAGAAGTGCTATGAACTCAATACCTATTAAGGTCTGTGGGACCTTCATAGACATTAAGAAAAGGGGCACCTGGGTGGCTCAGTCGTTAAGGGTCTGCCTTCAGCTCAGGTCATGATCCCGGGGTCCTGGGATCGAGCCCCGCATCGGGCTCCCCGCTCGG